GCTGGCCTAGTTAGTGAGGTAAGCACTATCCTCCTCCCTTTTGGGGACTAGGACATGCAAGACCTTAGGGATTTGCAAGACTTCAGGGCAATCTTGTTGGTAAGGAGCTAAAGAAGTAACGTAAGTATTATCCTCCTCCCTTTCGAGGACTGGGATATGTAAGACCTCGGGAATATGCAAGACCTTGAAATGGTCATGCTGAAAAGGGGTTGGGGTATGAGGTGAGAATCATTCTCTTCAATACACAAACCTCTGGTATTTGCAATACCTGGGGCTGATTTGGTGCTTAGATGACTTGGGGAGCAAGGTAAGCATCATTCTCCTCTCTTAAAGAGACTGGAATGTGCAAGACCTTTTGATCAACCACTGGTCAGTCTCAACTTGACGAGCGACCTCAACCTCTAGAAATGGAATGGGGATACATAACAACTTTATGTCACCATGAGCAAAAGTGACTGTAGGTGTTAGAGTGGTCAAGTTAGCGGTTTCCTCCTTCTTGATGTGGTCAAGTCAGTGGTTTCCTCCTTCTTGATTTGCTCAATTTGAGCCACCACTGGAATGGGTTCTTGAGAAGGTGGGGTAGAGGATGAAGCTTCTTCTTTATGACTTGGAGGCATCATTTCTATTGGGGAGTTTGGTAAATTTCCATCAATGGGGGTCAATGGAATCACTTTTCCGCACCTCTTCTCTTCTTGAAACATATGATTAAGTGATTCTGCTATGTCTTCCACATCTTCATGAGAGGTTTTAGTAGTCTCTGTCATGTTAGGGCTCGTAATGGCTTTCATGGGCCACATTAGCTCTTGAGAATGCATAGGATCTGTGAAATAGTACTGCGCATCAGTATAGTGCGACTCACCAATAGGAAATCGTTTCTTATCAGCATAGACTGTGTGTTGCCTTCCATCACAGCTATATTTGAAGCATTGATGGAGTGTGGATGGAACCACCCCATGGTCATGTAGCTAGGGACAACCCAGAATGATGTTGTAGCAAGTGTTTGTCTCAATCAAGTTAAACAGTGTAGAGCATTCAAATCTCCAATTTTGAGCTTGAGGAGGATAACACTAGCCGATTTCTCCCGACTGGTTGAATCTCTGAACTGTCAAGCTTGTTGGCTCAAGTTGTTCAACACTTATCCCAATTCGAGTAAGTATTCTCTTGGGCATAAGGTTCACTGCAGATCCCCCATCCAACACGATTCGATTAATTAGACAAGCATGTAGTTCACCAGTTATGAAGAGAGGTCGATTATGAAACCTCTCACCCAATTGAATATCATCATCAAAAAAAGTGATAGCCATGCAACTATTAATAATTTCAAGGTCTACCTCATTTCGCTCAATCTCAGTCTCATACACTTCAGGTCGGGAGAGAGCTTGCACCAGGCCATACGAAATTCATTTGATGAGAGAATCATAGACACTCAAGAGAGCTGGGAGTCTCCTCAAGTGACCAATCACATCATACTTGACTTTATCGGCTTCAGGAAAGACAACTCCTTGGTTCACCATTGGTTTTGGTGGGACAAGTGGTAATGGAGTGACTTTTGGAAGGGAAGGGTTTGATACAGCAACCAAAGAAGGGTCGGTTGTAGTTGTGGGAGGAGGAAGAGAAGGCTAGCTAGGTTGCACAGCTGGAGTAGGTGTCGGTAAGACAAGGCAAGATGAAGGCTACATGGTTTTGGATTTTTGAGGAAAGAAGGTGAAGGATTTGGGTAAGGGACTGGTGGTGGTCCTGGGTATTTTAGAAGAGGAGGTGGTTCTTGAACATGAATAGGTGAGTTTGGATAGGGAACCAGTGGTGGTCCGGGGTATTTTAGGAGTTTAGGCCAAGCTAGACTTTGAATTGGTTTAAGTCTCTTTCCTAACCTCAACCTCATCCAGTCAACTGTAGCTGCTATGCTTCCCTCATGAAAACCCAGCATATGGCATGCTTCATAATTGGAAGAACTTCCTCCCTTCGAGTTCTTCCATAATTCTCCCAAGTCGGGCTCTACAGGCCATTGAGACTTCTTCTTGGGCTTCGGGTTTAGAATACGATTGAACACCTCTTCTGGAGTAGGACAAGGCTTGTCTTTTTTAGCGGCAAAGGCCATAGCATCTCCAACACTCATGAATCTGGCCCTGTAAGTGATCATCTTCCTTAATTGCTTGCTATGTCATATTGCAGAGTTTGAGCTCTTCATTAAGAGCCTCAAAATCTGGGCACTCCAAAGTGAGTTCATAAACAGAAACATCGACTCATTGGGGTTTTGCTTGGTATCCATCAATTCATGTAAAAGGACATCTATCTTAACATTATAAATCATTCATAGAAGGCTCCCTCCAGCTACCTTCAAGAGGTGATCGACCTAAGGCATGAGTACCACGTAAAGGCCATCCTTGAAAGATTCTAAACAAACTACCTAATCAATATGTGTTTGTGACCGATGTTATTTTTTGAGAGATATTGGGCCACATGTTGTTGGGACAAACTCGTACCATCAATTTCATCCCTAAATGCCGGATACGGCTTTGGTATGCTTCTAATACCCTCATGCCTAACAAATTGCAAATTTTTAAGGCATTCCATTACCATAGCACGGATAGCCTTGGAGTTGATTGGTGCATTGGTAACTGATGTTGATTACGTGCCCACATACACCTTGCCTTGCTATTGAGGAGATACCAGCAAATTTATTATTGATGTGGGAGGCACAATTTGAGGAATTGGAGTAGGTGTCATAGGGGTTTTAGTAGTTGCCTGTGGTGTAGAAGTGTCCTTTCATAACAGCCACCTCTGGCAGGAGCCTCGTGCTAATCATCATCATACCGGCGATAGGATGCAAGGGTCTGCCTTCAAGAATTTGTTCCTTTTTGGAATTAATCACTTGTAAGGAAACCAATCAGTTAATATTACCTCTAGATCCTACCCTTCCCATTGCAATTGCCTGCCCTTTAATGGGACATAACGTTTTGCTTGTGCTACTTTTGGTCTATGTTGCTGTTTGCAATTTGTTGGCTTTCTAATTGCCTTCCTTTCCCTTGTGTAGGGACCTGCAACTTCCTATGTTAGGTACATCACACCTTTGACATCATTTGCAAGGTTTGCATGCTCCTTTCCAATATTTTGTAGACTCTCTAGGTTTCTTTCCTTACTCTTTTTAGATAGTTGTATTGAACATATGGCAAGTAACAACTTGCTTGCGGACTTCGTGGCTCCCCAACCTTTTCAAGGTGTAAAAGTAAATTCTTTTAAAAGGTCAAGGGGGGTTGCATTGCTTTTCACCAAGAGGCTTCGTACTCTTGAAAGTTTTGGTAAGTTATTATGCCTCCTTCAATTATCTGCTATGAGGGCCTATGTATAAGCATGCTCAAAGTTCCCTTGATCTCAAACTTGTTGGAATCTTCCAAGTATGGACACTTTTAGATATTTCATTACATGTGTAACCCATCTCCTCCTCATGCGCCTTTCGTTGTGTATAAGTTTGTACATGCCTTGTTGGGTTGAGTACTTCTGACTCCCTACCCTTGGTGGTGTATTACGAGAAATTTTAGGATTTAGAAGCCCTCTCAAATTTTGGTGATTTGAGATCTGTAATTAGGCCCTTAACAAAGCAAAATGACAGATTAGGATTTGTGGAGCTGACGTCATTTAGTTCGGAAAAAGCTTCGAGGATGATGGTAAAGCTTGAGATTCCTTCCACCATATCTGTTATTGGCTTGATTGTGAGCTTAGCTGAATAAAACTCTACCTTCTTAGGGGTTTGGGAGGCATCTTTGGCTACAGGTGACTGGGTCCTTGGTAATGGACGAAATCCTTCTTGAGAGTGTAGAGACCTCATTGCATGTTTGCTCCTAACCCTGGCCATCATCATCATTCGACTTTGTTTAAAGTTTTGATCATGACTCTTACTTTTAAAATATTTACCACGGTTCTGGCGTAGTTAGTCATCTTGAAGTTCTTGGTGTATCAAGGGTTCTGCTACGACCTTTGAGCATCTTGTTTGAATGACTTCCTATATAAGTCATGGTTGATTATTTCAATTTTTTACCCTCACAATGGTAAGGAAATTTTTGTTGTGGTTCCTTGCTGAAACTGGTTTCGAATTTTCATAGCAGCTACAAACCTTCTGATTCTTCCTCGTGCCTTCTGACCCATGCCACAAGTAGGAATTCTCTAGGATTGTGGAGCACCGGTCCAGCCTTTATCTTGCTAGGCATTTTTTGTTGTCGTTCCCTCAAGAACCATGGACCAGCATGCTTGATATGCCCGTTGTGCTATGCTATTTTCAACTACATAATGGCTCTCTTATGGACATGAATAAACTTATCAATTTTTACATTGACTGTACAACCCTTATCAGGTTTAATAGGTTCATGGTTTGCTCTTTATGCTTAAGCATATGCTAGAACACAAGCTGCCTTTTTACGAACACACCTAGGGCCCTCATGCCCCATTTAAGTGGCTGACTATCACATTGGATGGCCTGCCTCTTCAATCGAAGGCTAGCTCTACATAGCGTTGTTCCAGGATGACCTTTTTTACCACTTGCTTGGGTATATTTGGTGGTGTGCTTTGCTCAATCGAGCTTTTGAGGCACCGCAGTTGGGCTCCCTTTTGAGGGTAACAGGCTTTATAGTGGTTTAAATGAGGTTTTATGATAAAAAGACATACTTGGGCTTTGTGCCGAGTGATGAAAACGAGGGTTTGCTACCCAATGGTCTTTTTTTTTTTTTTTTGTTTCTAGTTTTTTAGATTGGATTCTTGATGGAGAATTAAACATTTAGATTAGAAAAAATATCTCTTTACTTTTTATTTTTAACTTCTATATATAATGAAGTTCAAGAATTGGAAATATTACTTGTAAACAAAAAATCTCCATCTTTTTTATCTTATAACCCCCTCTACCTTTGACCATAAATTTTTGATCTAAACAAATACTAAAATGATACCCTAATATTTAATCCCAAGCTACTTTACCTCTCTCTTTTTCTTCTCTCTCTAAAAATTATTTATGTTCAGAGCTCCCCATGCTACTTTTCCTCTCTCTCTCTCTAAAATTATCTTTGTTTAGAGCTCCCCATATTATCTCTGTTCGATAAAGTTTGGAATTGTTGTGATTATAATCGATAATTTTGATTAAAGAAGAGATAAGATTGAACTATGGCGCTCTTGGATAAGCTTTGGGATGACACTTTAGCCGGACCACAGCTGGAAAATGGGCTTAGCAAGCTCAGGAAACCTGTTTCCCGGCCATCTCTGACCAAAGGTGAGCCGGAAAATACAATTTGATCTCTCTTTCTTTTTTGTTTGTCTTCCATTTGAGAAAAATCCCCTCTATTTCTTTCTCTCGTTACATTTTTGCGTGTTAGTGCTTTTTCTTTTTTCTTTTTTGTGTATTTATCACTTTTTGTCATTGATTTTCCCCCATTTCTCTATGTGTATGTGTTTTTTTCTACTGTAATCGATTTAATTCTATTTTTCATTTTGTTTTTAACGATTTTCAGTTGATGAGTTCTCTGATGAAGCCAATAGAGTGACTCAAAGCATAATGATCACGAAACCACCTCCGAATAATAACAACGCTTCAGAAAATGGAACCTTGCCGTCTTCTCCGGCAAGAATGACGCCTCTGGTTTCTCCTTTCGCTGGTAATGTCAACTTTTCAGGTTGATTTTCTTCATTCGCTTTTGAGAATTGGCCGAAATTTTGGTTGCTGAAATTTTGGGTATGTTGCAGGGGCCAGGAGGTTTCAGAGGATATTTTCGTTGGATGAGTACGAGAGAAGCAGCATTTTAGTATGGGAAGCTTTGAACAGATAATTTTTAGAGAAAGAGAGGAAAAGTAGTGTGGGATTAAATTTTAAGGTGTCATTTTAGTGTTTATTTAGACAAAAAATTTATGATCAGAGGGGTATAGGGGGTTATTGAAAAGATGAAGATTTTTTTTTTACTAATAATATTTTCAATTCTTGAGTCTCATAAGATATAAAAGTTAAAAATAAAGGATAAGGATATTTTCCCTTTGGACTAATGTTCGATAGGGGATAGCTGCCTCATAAGGTCATAATGGGCTTCTTGCCCAACAATAACATTTGACATAGGGCTTTCTGCCCCTTGGCTTGATGCATGTTCGACAGTTGCTATGGGTCATGTAGTTCAACCTCTGATAGACTTCAGGATGGGCTCCCTTTTGATGGCAGCAAGTCCCTTGGTCAAGCTAAGTGGCTCTCACCACCAATTTAACTGACGATGAGTTAGGGTCAAGTGACTCAAGCTTGCTTCCTCGCGTTTTTTATTTGTACAATGCTTCATTCTGATTTGACAAAGGCTATTTTTTTTACTATGGATGATGGGTAGGTCGCGTTCGATGGGTAGAAATGGGTGCCATCGGACCACTAGATTGGGTTTTCGAGTTTATGCTCTAGTTGTTTGGCTTTGGAAAAGCTCTAATTTTTTTTAGCTTTGTGCCTATTGCTTTACTCTCTTTTTAAGGCGGTATAGGAGACAATCACGATTCTGATCATGAAGAAGCCCATTGTCCTTATTTTGCTTCGTTTTTTTAGGCTTAATATACCTGAGTTGATGATATACCCTCTATGGGTTGGTTCGTTTTTTTTTTTTGAAATATGGATTTGGGGACGAGTTCCAAATGCTTAAACACATGCGTCTCATTCATATTTAAGTTCTGTAAAGCAAGGAGTACCCTTTGACCAATCACCCCGAATAAAAAAAATGAACTCAAAACAATACCATTGACTCCTTAATGGACCCACCTCGTTGATATTTAGGAGGATGAGTTTTAATTGTGGCTCCTGCTTGATAACTGGTGCTTTGTGTGACTCTCTGATGCGGGTTTGCTTCATAGTACTTTTAGAGACTTTGGGAGAGAGTTGATCGAGAAAGATAAGCTTCGCTCAATCATCTGTTGACTTAAGCCCTTCATCTTTCAATTTGATGGTTAATAATATAAAAAAACATATTTGATTGGTTAGGAATCCATCCCAATCTAATTTGTATTATTTAGAATTCAAATTCAAATAGCAATAGTTTTAACAACAATTCATGTTTGAGAGGGAAAATCACGTTCTAACTTCAATTCTGTTCTTTGTGTGTTCCTTTGATTCACATATGTCATGATCCTCATCTCTTGATGATATCCTCTTATTACTTTAATCTTATCCCACGCTTTGCTGTTGGAATAGATAAGGTTGAAATCCGCTATAACTGGAAAAGGGGCAGGGGTCGTGGTGGTAGTATCCCACGCTTTACTCATCTCATTGTGGTTTTAATTCCTACTATTAACACCACCTCACTAACATTTTCAAAAAACTAATACCGAATCTATTTGAAAAGAAAACAGATAGAGGTATGTCTTCCCCATTGAACTACCCAAAAAAAAAAGAAATCCCCGATAACCACAGTTAAAACTCGCTTAGTGAGACACAACATTTGAATTTAAAATAAAACTTCAGCCAACAATACCTTTATAATCTATAAGTTCTTCTAAGATGTCCTCATGTTTATCCATCACCATTCCCCCTGGTCTCTAGTGTTTCTTCACCATCTACCATCGGTAAATCTTGACATTCCTGGACATATCTCCAAATCTTGATTTTAATGGTCATCCTTAGTTTTAGATCTTTCGGCTATTAATCTATGGGGCCAATCCTCTTGGTCATTGATTGCTTCGGATTTTACCATCATAACGTTATTTTGGATATAAATTGACATACTGCGGTGAACACCCGAACACTCTCTCCAAGCCTTGCACAAGCCCTTCAGTTATTTTGATAGGCTTCGGATGTCAAAAAGCATAACCAAACATATGTTTTGATGGATCCCACAAAAAAAAAAATCCACCCATAAAGTTCCCAGGTCGGAGGGAGTTAATATATAAGTATTATATATTATAAGATTATTTATCTATGATACTAGAAAGTCACAATCACTCTTAATTATTAAATGTGAAATTCAATAGCTTGAGTTATGTCACACAGCTCAACGACTATTTTTTAGATTTTGAACTTAGTCGACGATACCCTTCAGCCATTCGATTTTTACATGTAACGGCCCGAGGTGGCTTAGACCACATTGACAAAAAAAACAAAGAAAAAGGAAAAATATCTTATCGTGTGCTTTCCCTAATATCAGTATGCTCCCGCAGGAACATGCTATCCATACCCTTTCTTGCTTGACGTCGGTGCCTGGCATAAAAAAATAGCGAGGAGACGCGAATAGCGCATGCGAACTCTAGAAGGCAGGAGGTGCGAAAGGAAGCGGTAGGGGTGGCATGTCGACCGTTGTCCATGTCTTTCATCATGGACCTCGATCGCTCCTCGCTATTAATCGTTCACTCTCAGGGGGCCTTCTCAGGCGTTCGACCCTGCTTCCTCTGAAACAAAAGTCCTTTCGAACCTCTAATTCTAGTGGATTTCTAATTTTGGCAAGCGCCTCTTTTGAAGAGGACCTCAACAACAGGGGAAAACCCCTTTACAATTGCTCCAAGGTCTCTCTCTCTGTGGATTCGTTTTGTCTCTGAAACACCCAGTCTCGATTTTGAAGTGTATAATTTGCAATTTTGTAGATTTTCACTTCAATCTGTTTTCCTTTCATTGCATGTTTTGCTCCATTCATGGGCTATGTCTATGTAATTGGGCACTAAATGTCTGTTATTGTGAGAACTTATTGGTGATATCTATTTCTGACTTGGAATGATATATCAATCATGGTAATCCTGTGCTTGATGGCCTAAATATATAGGAACTTTGCTATAATGATGCCTTTGCCTCGAAATGTCAAATCTTTTTTATCCTCATTTCCTACTGTTTTGTGTAGTTTATTCCATGTAATTTGAAAGAAGGTTTGATTATTTTATGGAGGAACCCAGAGAACCAAATTTAGTGGGGCAAAAATGCACCAAAAACTCTTGAGCAAAGATTTGAATTTCTCCCTAAAATATTGCAATTTGGTGTCAAAGACAGCTTTCAATTGGGGAGCGGGGGGGGGGGGCGGGGGAATGGTTTGGGGGATGGCCCATGCACAACAACACCTGTAATTATATGACCTGTTGCTTCTCATCTGGATTTATGTCCTTATCTGCGGTAAGATTGGTAAGATTGATACTGTGCTTATCTGTGGACTGTGGTAGGATTGGTACCATGTAAACATCAAGAGAATGAGAGTTACGAAGGTAAAATAGAAGGGGGCACAAACTGGAGCCAAGGAAGATTGATACGATGTAAACATCATTATGAGTGTTCACAAATATACGCGTGATTTTGGAATTTGGAAGAGAGTGTCTATCATTTAGACATGAAGTTGGACACTCCACCGGAATTTGGATGCTGTCCTGAATTTAGATGTTGGTCTCTAGAATCTAGACACAGTTTCTAACTTTTTTAATAAATTCTAATTTATATATATTTACATATACTGTACATTATACTCAATATGGATGTTTCTAGGAAACAGCATTAAAAAAGAAAATATATGGATGTTTTTATGATCCATGTCAGACCATTGTAGACACACATGTTAACGTGAAACTCTGGCACATGTGTGCATGTCTTTGTAAGTTAGGTTATATACAAGAAAGGAATGGCTAGTTGACAACTATAAACTTACACTGCATGTTACGTTATGGTGATTCCTAAGATCATATTGCATGAGACTACATATATATGAAACAACTATGGGTGAAATGAAAGAGATTGACCCTATCCTCTTAACATTGTTGGGCTGTTCTCTCTCTGAATATAATCTCCTGTGGAGAAGGGTTTGGTTTAGGTAGATCAGATCTCTGATACCATGCAGACGGTTGAGGACTCTAGGAAACAATTCCTAGAAATTATGGGGAGTGATTCATTTCAGTTATACACCTTTCGTATGATAGGTATTTACTGAGGTATACGCATACAAATGACTTAATTACCCTCAACATTTATAATATAGAAGGTTCCTAAGGGAGTGATATTACACTGGCAAAGATCATGGACAGACATATTTACTCACATGCATACATTGATTCAACAAGCGGTCTGCTAAGGCTGACTAGGTAGATTCTGTGCTGGAGTGGAGTGGAGTGGAAGAATGATATATCAATCATGGTAATCTTCCTAGTCCTAGATTCTGTGCTGGAGTGGAAGAATGTCCCTCTTGGGCAATACATGTAAAAATTAACGATATACCATCCTTTCCAATCGTTCCAACTATTAGTTATAATAGTAAACCCAATCTTACTCCACATTTGCTTATTCTTATCAATAAATAAGTCAGCCTCTGCCACCTCCTCATCCAAGCAACAGACTGCTAGTTCACGTGCAACTGTCTCTTACATCTTCGTCTTAACTGCCTTTCCCATGTGGATTTAGGAGTCTTCTTCTCTGCCTTCGACTTTTGAAGGGAAGGGTCAATTTGGCCATGTGTAACTCGGTAAGCTATGTAGGTTTGGTTTGGGAGGCTACAAAGTAGTAGAATGTGTTCTCCTCTCAACAAAGCTGGAAAGTCCTGGTGCACTCCTCCACATGCCAGGTACTGCTGATTCGGAAGCACTGCACAACCATTGGAGGCTCTTGACGGCCTCGTTGCCTGCTGAAGTTTGGCCTCAAAGTCTTTCTCCTCTTCTTTTTAAGAATGTGCATGGTACTCTCTTCCTATCTCCTCAACCGTCCTCTGTCTATGCACCTTCTTTCGCATTGACGTAGATAGATTGTGGCATCTGTTGCTTCAGTTGTGTAGACACATTGCTTTACATCAATTCGAACTCTGCCGATGTGCTGTTTTAGGCGATTAATACTGCCTGACATCTCCTCTCCACAATGTTTACAGTTCATCTTACTCCACTCCCGCTGTTTCACTCTATATGCTGCCATGATGAATCCTCCCCTCCCCCAAAATCTCCTTACCTTATAGAAGCAGGATTGCTAAGGGCATAAGCACTCAACCAAAATACTTCTATAAGCACCAAAATACGAAAAAAGAATGTGAAAATTGTTGATTTTTTTTTAAAATGAAATGTAAAAACTTTAAGCCTACTAGGAGTATTAAAAACCTTCATAGCATATCACATTAACAACAGTAAGTTAAATAAAACCCATTAGCAGGATTAAGTTAGAAAAAGGCTCATTAGCAGCATTAAGTTAATACATTTATAGAAACATATCTTTTTATGAATTAAAATATGGAGAAAAAGTTGATTTTCTAATTTTTTTTGAGAGGAAAATAGTACTTTTTAACATTTGAAGAATGCTAGATGCATAAAAAAAGCATAAAAAATCTAATTGGTATCATCAGTTAAAAAAAAAGAAAATCTGACATTATAAATACATAATTTTGATGTGGCTTTAATAAGCGATAAGATGAGGGAAAGTAGACTTATATGGGGTGGCCATGTCAGCATAGGCCTGTTACAACACTGGTTGGGAAGTGCGATTTTGTTCAAGTGGAATGCTCCAAATGGCAAGGGGAAGGCTTAAAAAGACATGGATAGAAGTAGTGAGAAAAGATATGGTGACTTATGATTTTATTGAGGGTATGGCCTTGATAGGGCAGATTGGCGGAACATGATTTATGTATCTGACCCTAAATAATTGGGATAAGGCTCGGATGATGATGATGACGATTATAAATTCGAAAAGCATTATCTCTACGTACATGTAAAACATCTCTTCGTATGCATGAAATGAAAAACAAAAATGAATCATCCTCATTCATATATACTGCCACAAAAACAGAGCAAACACTAGAAGACTAGATCAAGTGACATCAATCCCAAAAAAATTCATATGTAGATTTAAATTGAAAAAATGAAAGTTGCCAAGAAATTTTGAAGCTGATTTTTCAATTTTTGTGCTCGGTGGTAATGGATGCCTCCATTGTCAAATGATCCTCAAATACCCCAATTGAACCCCTGAACCAGATTAGGAAAGCAGTATTCCATCTAGTTGATTCAAGCTCTTTAAAATTTTGGGTTAATTGAAAATTTCAAACTATCACAAATCTAATAGTTTGAGTGGTTTGTGTGAAATAAGCCTATGATTCGATAAAGAACTCAAGAATCAGCTTAGGTAACAACAATTTACGAAGATCGAGCTAGGTTACGAAGGAATTGCGAGTTTTCAAAATCTGGGTAAACCTTAGTTTGAAACTTACAATATCTCAAATCTGAGGATTTTGAGGAAAAAGGGTAAAAAATGGGGATCGGATTTTACCCTCCTTTAAATTAAAACATCCATCGGATGAGTCCTTTATAAACATGTCTCACAACTCACCCGAGTCATGCCCAAGTTATTCTAACTCTGGCAAGTCTACAGTACACCCTAAAAGAAAAAAAAGGGTGGGGAGGGGGGACACCCGAGCAATGGGGTTTATGGGCTTGGGGGTTTCCCAGCCTAACTGACTTTGTCGAATACTGAGTGGGGTGAGTTTTCTAACAGCAGATCAAAATTTTGCTATGCATGTCACCAAGAGAAAAAGAGAAAAATTGGTTACTTATGTTCTTACCAAATATATTGTGGTTTCGACTTGAGATGATTGATAATTATGCTTTGCACTTACTATTAGTGATGATTGTTTTTCTTTGCTAGAACTCCTTTCTTTCAGGTCTGATACAGGAAATAGAGCCTTTGGATGTGAGTCTCATACAAAAAGATGCATCTGCAGATACAATAGATGCCATGAAGAGGACAATCTCTGGCATGCTGGGTTTATTGCCTTCAGATCAGTTTCATGTCCTGATTGAGGCCTTATGGGATCCCCTGTCCAAACTCCTCGTTTCTTCCATTGTGACTGGGTATGATAATCGTCACTGTATTGAACTTGGGACCACGTTTTTAGTTATTTCCGTCCCATGTTCTACACTTTGTTTGACTACTTTTGGAATACTGTTATGCCTTTCTACTTTAGTAACTGCAGACATTATGAGTAAGAAAAAGGGACTAGAAACTACATACATCAAAGCTTTTATTTGAAGTTCTGCAAGAGTAAGATATTAAAGAATTTCCTATTAAAAGATTTACTATTTTGATTGAAAGATTATATTATTTTTTTACATGCAATTCGGCCTTGGGGTTTTCATATGGCTGCTTTTATACAAAAATGAGGGGCCGTGTAAGGGCTGATACGTGGTTTCTTACAACAATCAATTTCTGATATTTTTGGCTTATCGTTCTTTGATTGTAGATATTTTTAACTCATAATTGCTGCTACCTTGTGTGAGATTGAGTTCCTAGAGAAAATGTGAAATCTCATTGCATGCAGAGATCTAGATATTTGCATCGGGATTGGCTCTAGCTCTGTATTTGTGAATTTTAATATTGATGTCTTGTGGTTAGATGAGTGAGCAGCTTGAAAGAATCATAATTCTTAGTTAATAATATTGCATGCAGAGATCTAGATATTTGCATTGGGGTAGGCTCTAGCTCTGGATTTGTGGATTTTAATATTGATTTCTTGTGGTTAGACGAGTGAGCAGCTGGAAAGAATCATAATTCTTAGTTAATAATATTTATTTAATAATTTAATGGATCCCTATAATTTATATATTTGAAAGCAGTATCTATTTTTCATCGAACATAAGGGTTCTTACTTGCATAATACGAAATAATTGTGATTCTATGCAAAAGGCCTAACAGTAGATATCAAAGCTAATAACAGAAATACCTAGATTGTTCTCAAGTGAGATTTCTATTGCCATCAAACTCAATACATTGGATGAAGGCCTGCCAAACTCAATCCCTTAGCTCTGGGATTTATAGTGTGCAGTTTTATGTCTGTGCACATGTGGTTGCAGCGCATATGTCCATAGAAGCCCTAAAACGAGTTCCTTAAAATGAAATTTTTTACTTTTTTTAAAATGATGACTTGCCCCCACTTCCTCTAATTTTTTCTTAGCCTATTCTCTGAAGTTGAGTAGGCTTACTCTTCAGTCCTTCTCGTATACCACAGAAAAGCCCTACTTGTACATTTGTGAAATGGATAACTATGATAATCTGTGTACACAGATAAACTATAATGTCGCAATTTATGTCTTTGTTTATAAGTATGACAAGACTAAGGATGCTCTCCAGTTGTTCATTTCTCTATCATGTCCTATAATGCACCTATATGTGGTGCTTACACTGCCAGATTGAAAAAAACATCATGTTTTTCTTGTGTATATACCCATAGATAATGTAAAAAGTTCATAAGCACTTTAATAATGTTCAATTGTGCTGCATACATGTGGACAATGGACAGGGGCCTTGGCATTTGGCTTCTTTCGTGCTTCTGTATGTGTTTCTCTATCTTATGAAACTAGTTCAATCTTAAAACAATATATCTTTATTAGTAGTCATTGCCTACGATGAAACAATTCTGCTCATTATCTACCCTAGAACTATTTGAAAACTGAGGTTTGTCTAATTATGAGGAATACTCCAAATTCTGCGTATCGTGACATTATGAACCCAGGGGCAATTTGGTCTCTCTCAGCATGAAATGTTTGTGGAAATTGAGGTAGGTGCTCAGGAAGTTGTTGTCCTTGTGTGTGCGTATCATTCCAGCCTTATCCCAAATATTTGGGATTGGCTATGTACGTATCTATATGTGTGTGTGTCTGTATGAACACAACCCAATGGCACTTGCGTTGCACGATGCTCCTGCCAATGTTGTTAGGACCGGGTAGGTCCACAGGTCAGACCGCTCATGAAAACAACCAAAAGAAAATAGGAAAATACAAAAAAATTAAAACAATGGCAAAAAAAGAAAAAACTATAGGAAAAATAATTTCAGAAAATATTAGAAACAAAATAAAATTATATAACATCATATGTTCATATTTCATGGTGCACTCCAAAGTCTATAAACCATTCAGCAGTAACAATAAAAATGAACTGTTGAGCATTGAAGGCAAATACCTACAACATTTATTAAATTGTTAAAGCCAAAAGAAACTTGAAACTAACGCAAGAAACAACTATTGTAATTATTTGGGAGAAAGAACTTCATTATTCATAAAAGCCCTAAAAGATCCAAAATTTATTCAATTTTCTTTACTTTTTTAAAATCTAAAACAAACAAAACAAAGAACAAATCAAATGGACTTAAAGGTTGAAAATTGTCTGTTGAGTGGCCATAAAATGCTTTAGAAAGTATGTATATGTTGCCCAAATTCTTGGGTTTACTAAATTGTTTCTCTTTAAAAAAGTATTTTTAGACCGTGATACGCACCTTAGTTCTTTTATTTACCAAAACGCTCGTTATTATTTTCAAAATGGTGAAAAGATCCCCAATAAAATGGGCTAAAATGATGAAATAAACAAAACAACCAAGGACGTTTTTGCCATTTCTCATTTTGGATTGGGATTGACTAGATCGGTTTGATCCCCATCCGCTCTAGGGTTTGGAGTTGTCATAGACGAGCTCTCTGATTGACTGGATTGGTTCTGAATTGGTATTGAAACTATCCAATACACCGATTTGGTGGATACTCATGTGTGGAGGGTTTGAATGGGCATGAAGGTCCAACGGTTGAACGATTCCAGTCTAAACAACACTGGCTAAATTTAGATGAACACAAATTTTTAGAATGACTAATTGAATTGGAAAATAATTTTATTTTATTCATTAGTATTAGTTCTATAGCTGGTTAATTATGTCTGACTTATTCTAAATTTTTCTTTTTCTTTTTTTTTTATAAGATAGGCTAAATACCACTGTAAAAATTGTTAATTTATAGAAACAATTGACATATAAAATCATTTTCTCAAAGTTTATAAAATTTTCTTTTCTTCGACAACCTGATATGAATTCCAAAGTCACTCCAATTTCTTCTCATAATAAATTGTTTCTTAAATCAAGATTAGGATAAAATATGAATGATATTTTAGAGGGAGATGGAAACCATTTTTTTTAATATTGGATTGTTAGTGTCGATTGTCTTTCAATTCATTTTTCTTTATTTTATCATGATATTATGAAACATTAATACTAATTCTGATAATATCCTATTATTATTGTCATAAAAAGCTTTCCCAATAATAACATACATGTAATCTGAAGGCAAAATTAGCAACTTGAATCTGAAAGTAAATAAGTCACCTAAAAATATTTCTAAAATATCAGTAATGCAATTAGGAAGCAATATCAGTGGAATTGATAATGGATGTGTAAGTTAAAGTTATTATGATGGATGATGATTTTTGATTGGAGAAATTTATTATGCGTTGGCGAGCATGAGTCTACTTCGCTTTTCCATGGATTTCAGATCCAAAACCCATCTGAAATGATTGAAAATGCTTTCTGCATTTGACCCATGAATTCGCAGCTCCAAAGCTATAATATAGATCTAATGGTCCATGAAGAACCAAGGTGAAAGAAAAGTTCTAAAATAGACTATTTATAAGGTTTGAATTTTTTTTAATTTATTTTTTCTCAAATTCATGATCATGGGAGTCAAGGTTATGGATTTGTGAAACTTTGGATCCAAAATCCATCTCCAAGAAGGATTTTGAAATGTAGAAGCATTTGAATAGGTGGATTAGCTGAGGCACCACAACCTTACCCTTTTTGCTATTTTGAGTTGGATATAAATTTGAAGTTACTAGACAATTTTATTTGTTAATATTTCAACGTGTTGATCTTCTTAATTTTCACTAAAATATGAAACTATATTTAGTAGTCTTAATGAAGTACATACATTTACTTAATTTATTAGAGTCCCCATCATTATCTAATAAATCCGATAAAAAAGACAATACTGGAATATTGTGATTACAATAATTCACCTAGATTGGATTTTTATTACCTTGAGGGCGCATGTTTGATAACAGGAAGTTAGGGGAGGAAGAAGGAACTTCCCCATTACTGTACAAGTTCTGTGTTTGATGCATGGAGCTTATACAGTACAGAAGTTCTACCTAGAACTTCCTTGTTCCCTTGTGCTTAAGTAGAAAAGCTCCATCTAAAATGATGGAACTTAAAATTGGAACTTGGTTTCTCAAACCCATTGTATTATATTACTTTATAATTTATTATATTATATATTCTATATAATACAAATATATATTAATAAAATAAATATAAAATATACTATATTACATATTATGTTTCGTTAATATATAATATATGTTTTATATTTTATTGTATAATATATAATATATTTTATTATATATTATATATTATATAATAAAATAAATATAGAATACACTATATTATTTGTTAGGGTGTGGTTTCTATAAGGTTGCAACCTTAAACAATCCAATTAAGGAGCACCTCCAAATTTTATCATAACATGTGATTTTGGTATAAAAAATTCCTAGGATTATCTCAAAATCTATTTTCATAGTTAATTATAAAATCTTAAATTCGAAAAATGGACAAAGTCAAGCAAATCTATAAATATATGAAAATCTTGAAAATGGGCGGTCTAGATAATATGTTGCATGATGCACTTTTACTGAGACTCAAAATCTTTATTTATTTATTTATTTCATATTCATACATCTCGATGTCGAGATGATCAATTAAAGGATTTGTCAACATTAAAACAACCTTTTCGATGGATTTTTGAGGTGCATCTTTAATTCTACATTTTTAAGGTTGCAACCTTTATATAAACCGTTTTTCCTATTCCTATTTATTTATATTATTG